AAAAATTCTAATAACAGAAATAAAATCCTGATCTTTAAATTGTTCTTTGTTCACTGGTTATGTGAGCCACACTGTCGTCATCAAATATTTAGGCGTTTCATCGAATATTTAAAAATTAATGGCAAAGAGGCTGAGTATCTTTATATGAAGAATTATGGAGATCGAGGAGGGTGTTATCCGTCGAGACCGTAGGCCGAGGTGGATAACACCCTCCGAGATCTCCATAATTCTTCATATGATACGAAAGCCAGATTCAATAATTGTTTTATTATTCATTCAAAATAATTCCTAGTTTAAAAACAAAGCTAAAACATGCTTACCTCCATCGATGTTAAGTTCATCTTCGATAGTGCACGTTAAGGGTTTTTCAGCTCCGCAAATGTTCTCCAAATAGCAGATGTCGCCCTTCAAATTGTGTTCTTGCTGTTCTTGCCATGTTTTTAGCTATAATTTCGCCTGGTTCTTACTCTTGAAACGAGAGAAATGTCCGCCATTTTTTGCTTTCACAACCAAAACAACTCAACCTCGTCCCCAGGTCTTTTCGGTTAACGGTGCCTTAACTTGCAAGAACGCTGCAATTTGACGTCATTTCCTTGTTTCCAAATTTGGTCATCAGTAACTGGTTATGGTTAATTATGCGTGTGCTTTTAGCCAATCAGAATCGGAGAAATATTTTGAATGAATAATCGCGGAGCTCTCGCGCGTGAAGCGCGCACTGCAGAGCACCATGTGTCACAAACTTTGGTAAACTATCCATCCGAGAAAATTTGGTTTTGACGTCGCTTGCGCCCGTCCATTTGCACACACACTTCATGTAAGCCGATGTCAAATGTCACAATAGATCTTGCACAACTTGACACTAGCCTATCAGTTATGTTACCCATCCGTAAGAGTATGATTAGATTGACAGCAGTCAAAATCAGACATCCGCTAACAATTATCACATGACCATCTCGCGGGCTCAGATGAAAGACCAGTCGTTTTGCCCCTACATATAAGCTGATACAGTATGTCACACCTACCGATTCAACATAAAAACAAAACTACGCTGGGCAGGGCTGTCAGTTGGCTGCCAGTAGTTTTAAGTTATATGAGCGAGCCAAATTAAGGTCAATTGACAGCTGCCAAAATGGGACATGTGCAGACCACTATCAGGTCCGCTCAGGTACATAAGCTTCATTATCAGATTTTTTTACTAATTAATAATAATTATTCCACCGGGTCCATATTGATAGCAGTTGTATAACTGAAGTGGTTACCCTGCATGAAAATTTATTTATTTATTATTATTATTATTATTATTAGAATTGCATTATCCAATGATTTAAAAACTATATTGAATTTCTCATACAAAGTCTTTAAATCGTTAGTAATATGCAAAACAGCATAGCATAGATACTAGAAGTCTACGTACTGTCTTCTTAGAATTGTTTTCTGTCTTTGTTTTTCATTTGTTGATACGCGGAGGGTGAGTATCCAAATTCTTGCTGTTGGCACTGCAGTCAGATCAATGACTATGATCTTTTCAGCGATATAATTAAAACTAGCGTCAAGGAGCGATTAGCGCAGGGTGCTTCACGACGTACAAGTTGGATAAGAATATTACGGATTTTAAATTAATATGGTATTTGCAGCTTATTTAGCGGAAAAGCAATTTGTTGTCCCAGGGTGGGACATACGCAACTTGAAAACAAAATGACAAATGCCAGGGGGGATGGGCACTCTTGGAATTGACTGAGCCATAAGTGTTTACGAGTGTAGTATGTAAGCTTCAGACGCAAGACCTAAACTTTCTCCTTATGCATGAACAATTTATCGATTTTCCGACTTTCGCTTGTTTGATCGCGTCAGCGGTTTTGTTTCGTCGTTCCGGCCGTTACGCTTGATTCGGTCATTTCGTTTTGGTCGTTTCGGTGGTTTCGTTTCGGTGTTTCGGGTTTTAGCTACTACATGCCGGTTCAAAAGGCGCAGGTGACGATGGAAGTCACTTGGTGGGAGACTGGTAACCAGTAAGCTCAACCAACAAATCTGCTTGGTGATCGAGTTTAGTGAGTCAAAAACGCAGTCATTTTCAGAGCTGAATAAAATATTCCAATGGTTTTGAGGTGTTAGCAGAGAGAGGAAAAATTTGCATTGTTTTTTTTTTTCAAGAAACGATGGCCTTTCTTACAAAGCTGAGATGAAAAAGCTCACTTAGGGGGAAAAAAGAAAACTTGTATAATATTAATGCTCGACTAAAAAGCAACACAAAAATGCATGACAGCAAGGATAGAGCGGTAGCTTTCACTTTGTAAATCGAATTTTAAATTTGCCACTCATACCCTTCTTTTGCTCGCCATCGTGGATTTATAAACACACCTTTGATTCCCTCTGAAAAACACACGATTTATTGTTTTGAAGTAACTTTGAACTTCTAGGTATCTGAAATATTGTTCTAGTCAAGATAGACTAGTCAATGACGACATATATGACGTCACAGTGACCACCATTATGGCAGATTTACTAAATTAAAGGCGTTCTTTCTCAGCAGTGTCGATGGATATTCGCTTTCTGGTCTTTATCAAAACTTGAAAAAACCGTGGAAGGGTCTTTTTTCGATAGGTTCAATTTAAAAAGTCCTGCTATATGTATCTCTTTATTCGAATGAGGTTTTATCTTAATAAATGACAGTGGTTTACAAAATCATTATTCAGTTCCAATCCTGAAACTGATTTATAACACGAAAACATACCCCTTGGTCTTTCACAGATATAGCCAAACTCCTTCTTGCAGCCATTATCATTCCACATTGATAAATATAACCCAACACAGTCCTCACCAGTCCTGTCATTTGGTTCACCTGGATACCAGCTATTATACACTGAGCCATTAAAAGATGTCCCGTCACTCCAGACAAACACACTCTCATTCCGACGGTCGTTTAACCCAATCCAATAAAACTGAAGTTTACCATGTTGAATCACTTGATTATATATGAAGTCCATCTCTGATTTGTTGGCCACACTGACAAGGTCTCCTGAACAATTAAGGCACGTCCTTCGAGCATCTTCCCAGCTGAGGCCTTGCACTGTCAGAGTCCTGGGCTGAAACAAGTAGCAGGAGTCACCAAAGCCATCCCAGCCAGTTGGACAATCTGATAAATGTAATGCAAAATATAATCAGGAAATAGTTTGAGAATACTCATACAGTCACAGTGACCTTGAGACCACCTATGGATTTTGGGGTCACGCAGCACTGTCTTAACAGTTTGCTTGTCTGAGGTATGCATAATACTTGATATAAATATATTTTAAGAGCGATTTAGGAACGTTTAGTCCTCAATGATTTAGCCGCGCAGCTCAGACGTTCTGGGAAAAAGAAGAAGAAAAGAAACGAATAAAGGTTAAATGATTTCTACATCCCAAATAAGACTGTTATGCAACCAGGAGTATTCGCATTTCCGTTAATGTTACCGAAACTCCAAGTTATCTTTGATTGGTTACATAACACAGCGCTCTCAGTAGTTCACTTTTTAATTGTGCCCGAACGAACCACGTCCAACCTCCATCAACCTCATTCCCACGGTTCTCTCCCACTCGTCCCCCTGAGTAGGAAAGAAACCTGGGAACAAGGTTGACTTTCGCGACTTTCGTTTTTAGCGACTGTAAAAACATTGCAAAATTAAATACCTGCGAATAAAAATCATCACAGCATTTAAACACAAAAAATTTAAAACCCACATAGAAAAATGATTAACATCAAGAGAGAGTGAAGTAAGAGATCCAATCCCCCATGCATGACCCTCTTCTCATGAAAATTATTTGAAATCTATTCTTGGTTCTGTGTCAAGCTGCGTGGTTATTTCAAGGCCGCCACCTTATTAGGTCAAGTTAGCGTTATGTAATTTTAAACTTTGCCGCCGATCCGATCACGCATAGCAAGCAATATGACATGCGAACTTGGTTATTACTTTCGTCGATGAGTTAAAAGATTTCTACGTCGAAAAATCTTGCCAGCGTTACTGCCAAAGAGCAAAACGGTCCTGGCTGTGGGAGTCGCTGGAGAAAGCGGTTCCAACTCAACAAAACTGCTCATTGTGGTCTTCGCTACATCAGCATATAAACCAGTCATACTATTGTAAACGACAACTGTCTCTTCCGGGGGCAACGTCCATGCAAACCCGCGAGCTGTGAACCTGTCTCAACCGGCATATCCTCCGCATAACTACAAAGACCGTCAACAACACCCATTCATAGATGTCTTTCGTCAAACACCGGGTATCTCGTGACCTAGATAATTTTGCTTACAAAGCACATTCCACGTTTTCCTCGCGCTAAGAACATTACCCTAAGAAAAAGAGTTCGTCCTTTGGTTTAACCTGAGATCAGGCTCAATTTTCCTTTCGCTTTGTAATAACATTCCGGCGGGCAATTAAGGCGAAACAAAAACAGAGCCCAGTCTTAGCGATAGAAGTTAGAGAGAATGTATGAGAACCGCTAAAATTGGGCCTTATCTCAGGTTACCTTTGGTTGAACTTCGTTAAAGCTACATGCATTCAGTAATAACTTGCATAACATATCCTCTAACGATAACAAACGACCTATCCATAGAGACCATAGACGAGATTACCACATCATAAAAAACCCGTGATATGCACACACATAAGTCTATTGACGTAACTGAATAGCAAAATAATAGAAAAGTAAATAAACTGAATAGCAAATAAAACGCTTGGATCATAAGAATTGATTTCTTTCTTGTTTACATGGATAGCATTTCGACTTCGTATACATGACATTGATCAATTTTTCTGGTGTCCCTGAAAATTCTTCAACTTTTTAAGATTGTTTTGCTAATAAAATCCTGTGTACCCTGTGACAGCACAGAGGGAAAAGAGCTGTAACGACCCTTTAGTTTGAAAAGCTAGTCAAAATTATTTCACATACTACGAACTCAAAAGTAACGGTCACGGACAGCTTATAGATAAGAGCCTGATACCAAAGGTACAAGTATTTTTTTTTTACGTGCCTATTTTTTAGAATCTTAATAGATGCACTTTTCGTAGAGTTTATACTATGAATCAATATTGTCCTAGATATATACTAGGTACACTTTATTAACGATATGCTACCCCACGACGCTACGTCCTCGCTAATAAAATATGTAGAAAATATTTCTCCTGTAAACTAGTTACAAGTACAGTCAGTGCAGTTCGTATTCAGTTGAGTCTTTGGAATACCGCAGTAATATGAAAGGAAATAGAAGAGAATTAGTGAAAGATCGATGCCGGCTATAAACTTTCTTCACAGACTACTCAGGATATTTTATCAGGATTACAATATCCAGAATTGTTAAAGATTGAAAAGAACTTCCTTTGTAATATTTGAACGATACGATGAAACTCTTTAGAATGAAACCAACAGAAGCGTGACTCATGAAACTCTTCTTGATGCCGTAACCAAGTTATCCAGTGGTTTTACTCAGAATTGATGGAGGGAAACGAACTTTATCTTGAAAAATTTCTGCGGAGTTACATCAAAGCCATCCAAATTTGGTTTAGAGCCGTTACTGGCTGTCAAAGCTCCCAATGTTCGAAACGACTATTTACATATTGATCGCTTTATTACAAGCACGTATAGCAGTTCAACCGCGAACGAAACCTTACAAAGACGAGGCTTTTGACGTAAATTAAAGTTTAAAGTACTTTCAATTCATTCCCAGGATTCCATCGCGTAAATGTAATAAATGGGCTTGTCTTCAATTGCTCAATCAATCGATCAGGCCCCGGTTGTTCAAACGTAAGGGAGCGCTATCCACCGGATAAATCAATATCCAGCAGATAAGTACTGGGGAAACCAATTGCACTATCCACTGGATAGAGATTTACCCGGTGGATAACGCTATCCAGCTTTTGAACAACCGCGGCCAGACTATTGTTTTTTTCAGGTTAATCTTTGAGAAAAATTATCTTAAACTAAATAAAGCATCGATTGATATTGGTAATCTGCATTAATATTCGGAGTCTGATATTAAAGCACCCATTCCGGTTCCCCGCGGTGCAACTATACATGACTGAATTCAAGTATTTCTAAGCAGTATGGAATGCACATTCCTTAGACAAAATAGATTTTCGGACTGTTTTTTTCTTCCTACTCTATCTATCCACTTTTAACGATGGGCATGATAAGCTTTCAACTTTAAAATACTTGAATACTTTTCTCCAACTTAGGCCCGGTTCAGACGCCGAAGTTTTCGTGAGCCGAACCTAATACATTAAATTAAGTACATGAAACGTTCGGCGTCTGAATCAATTAGGAACGCCTGTTTCAATCTGCAACGGCTCAGCCGTTCTTTTCGCCTGGCCTGGCCGGGAATTTCACCTTTGGAGCGACATTGGAACGGCTTTGATTCAGACGCGGAACTTTTTATGCACCTAACCTAATGCATAAATTATTATAAGGTATTTCTAAGAAGTTTGACAGCAATAGGCATATTTCTCCTTCTGAATTTAGATCGGCATCTGAATCAATTCAGCCGGTCCAAATAATTTGGGTTTGGGTCGGTCTTAATTCGAATTAGAAAAAGTTTACATTCTGTTAAAGAAACCTTTAAAAATATGTTTTTGTTATTTAAAACTTTCTAATTTGTTGAACTGTTGCAAAGTCGCATGACGTATCGGCAATGCTTCACCATTGTTTGCATCTCGCAACATCACCAGAGATAAAACATTCTCAAACTCATTAATAATTCCTTAAGAAAATACAAAGGAAATTAATGTTTAATGAGTGTTTGGAAATCGGATGAAACACTGCTCATTTTTTGCATCCTTAATTTCTCCTTCAAAAATGATTTTGTTTGAGAAGAAATATCAAACATTCGACACAGTGTTTCATCACCAGATGAAACACCTCGAAGTTCGTCAAAAATACTCCGCTGCGCGTCGTATTTTCAACTCTCTTCTCGGTGTTTCATCTGGTGATGAAACACTGAGTCTCATGTTTGATATATTACATCCAAAACAGCCTTACTAAAACGATATTCAACAAAACTACGTATTTTGAATACTTCTTCGTTATTCTGCGACGTATGATTGACAAGAAAATAATGACAGTTGCCGCGTCAATCTGACCCGCTAATGCATGTAAAAAAAAATAATTCGCTTTATGTAGACAAAAATGCTCAATAGGTGGTATACTCACTCGACTGGCTTAAAGCACCTCCAATCAGAAACATTGCCGCAAAAAACACAGTCACTGATCTTTTACTGGAAGCCATCTTCAGCTCCGAGCTTTTTGCTGGGAAACAACAGTTAAGCGGAATGACTTGACATTTATACAGGGTTAGCCTCGACGTAAAGTAAAATATTCAGAAATTCCGCGGCAAGTAAGTGTTTGAGATTTGAATACAGCTATTTCGAGAAAGGTTGTCAGAAAAAGTGCACGCGATAATCCCGAAAGGCATTCTGGGTGGTTTTAAGTTCACTGTTCTTTAAAGAACTTTGAAAGAATTGGTACGAAAGGCCGTGGAAATGTGTTTGCGAGTGCTAAAGGAAAGCAACAAAAGTAGGCTCGACAGGTGCAGTCGTCAGAAACAGTGTATTGATCATATCCCATATTACCTTTCGGGATTGTCGCGTGCACATTTTTCTGACAACCATTCTCGAATTAACAATTAGTTCATGCGTCAGCGTGCGTATGTCGAGATATTGAGCACGCGGGAAGTTTGGAGAGCACGAAAGAGGCGTAAGAGTTGCACGAGGCGCAGCCGAGTGCAACTCTAGCCTCTTGAGTGCTCTCCAAACTTCCCAAGTGCTCAATAACTCGACATACGCACAGCTGCAGCATGAACTAATTGTTTTATAACATCATCAAAGCGATCAATGCATCAGTTAACTTATAATTTTATTATTGTAGGGTGCGCTCAAAGCAGTACGCGTCAATGTTTACGTGACTATATATTTTTTTCCTCACAGTTAATCTTATGTTTTTATCCTGAAACTGAGAGAAAGTGTACTCTAAAATGATTATAAAATCCATATTTAGGTGCCGGAAAACTATTAATTTACCGAAAAATTGTTATTGAGAGAAAACAAGTTTGCAAAGGATGAGCTCACGCCATAGCCCGCACAGCTCGCGGAGATGACAACAACAACAACAACAACAACACTCACCTCTTTTCCTTACTATCGGTTAACAAATTCAAACGTTTCCTCTTAAATTTCCTTATAAAACACATCGTAAACGCTTCCTTGTCTATTGCTGAGTTATGGATGAACTCAGGAGACTCAGGATTGCTAAGCTCACAACCACTCGAGGAATTACGAATAGTTTATTGACGTCATCAGCGTGCTCAATAGGAATATGAAGCACGCTCGCGCTATTGAATTTGATTAGGCGAATTTTCTAGCTATGTTATAAATAGCTATATACACAATACACAGAGTAAAAAACAGGTCTTTTTCTCGTTGGAATTTGTGAATATATTACTTCAGATGGAGGCTAACCCTGTAAAAAATGCGTCTTTACTTCTTTAATTCAGCGGTCATAGCGAACTCGAAATTGGAGTGATAGCCGCCAAGCTTATTTGCATTGCCTTCTAATATGACTGACCGGAACTTGGTTGATCGACGTTGAATCAATGTTGCTTTTGAGAAAGGAAGTGGTATCCAGGGAATCTCCGGAAGAAACCCAAAAGCATCAAAGACCGTATTATTCCAACCACTAGACTTTTCGAACACGGAAATGTTTCTTGGGAATAATCAGTCATATATAGATTTAGCCAGGGACAAAAGCGAAGCTCTCGATAATATTTATAGTTTGTTCAGACATAATATAAAATCATGTAATGCTAAGCGGCGAACGGTGAAAAACAACAATAGGTCTAATAAGCAAAAAAGCAACTTTGTACGTGCAGCACACTTTTTTTGTACATTTCTTTGCTGTTGTTTTGCACGACTACAACGTGAAACTTTCAGAAACTTCCTGATTACACGTTTTATGGAGGAAATGTCGTAAGTGTTCTTGATCACTTTTTTTTCCTCGTCGCTCATTTTCACCCTGGTGGCCGCTAGCATTTCTCATTTTCTCACCGCCGCCACAGAATTTCGTGTTGTTCCTCTAACAAAAATGTCTCAAATCAAATCAAATCAAATATTTATTATGTAAGAATACATAAAAGCAAACGTCAGAGGTTATCCCTATCGAGGACGCTCCCTACATAAAATAACATAGGCACGTTAAACGTGCATGAGCTATTTTGAATGCTTCAGTGTAACCTTACCAAGAGTGATAAATCTACCTTTTTCGTCTTAAATGTAGACTGGGTTTTGTGCGAAATTGGGTATTGCCGTACATAAATGAAAACGCGAAACGCCGGCTCAGCTGCGTCGATCCTCATGCTATATATTCACTTTCCTCTGTCTTTCCCTGTTACATTTGGTGCAAGTTAAACAATTGTCAAAGTAAAATAAATATCTACTCACCAAACGTTGATTAGAAGGAAAACTCTAACGTTTCCTCGGAGATTCCTAAGCCAAAATGTGACTCATCGAATTCGAGTAGTTAAGAAATACCAGGATTTTTATCATTGTGGTAGATGGTTGCATCATCACAATTCACGAGGTTTTCACGTGCGATTCTACTCAGTGAAACAGTCTTTAACTCCGAAAACTTATTTCTTCATGTTTTAAAAGCTATTGCTTCTTAAAAGACAAGAGCCTTTTTTAAGGCATCGGTTACAAAACCAAACAGGTCGTCATACGTCCAAGTTACTATTATTATTGTGAAAAGCCAATCTGCATGAGATGTACCGTCACACAACTGGCACGTGAAAGTGTTGGACTTTGCCCTTTTTCGTTGTTCGTACGTGAGGGAATTCGAGTTATCACACAGTAATCTAGTAAACAGAATTATAAAGTAACTCATGCACACAATTTGCACGTGAAGATGTTGGTCTTTGGCCCTTTTACAATTCGTACGTAAAAAAAACGGACATTGTTTACTACCAAATTTTCTCAAACGATTTTATGAAATCACCTCGGCTTCATTACAACATCTGCAATTAAATTAGGTTTCATGCAACGTCAAGGTTGATAGCCTAACATTTATTAACTTCCATGAAAATTATCAAACTGCCGAAATATATTTCTTCTCATATCATGTTACTCCACTCAGTAAAACAGTATCAAATTATTGTGTCACCTAGCTTCTTCCAATTTTATTCCCTAACGCTACTGTTTCTACTTACGTTACGCATCTCTACTAAATAAAATACGTTTCAATAACTATAATGCTTAATATGCAGGAAGGATGTATCATGTTGTTCACTTATTATTCTTTTTTTGTTGTTGTTTTGCCGGAACGAAAAAGGTCTGTTGAACTTTGTAAGCGAGAGAATAATATTTTTTAAAGCTTGTTTACAGGATTAACAATACTCGGTACAGCTTTCAAAAAAATGAGCTGCCTTTCAAACTTGTAAAACCACATTTTATAGGCTGCATACTTTCGAATTAAAGTCCATATCTAAATATCAATTATTGCTTCACTGGAAGAGCTTATATACGATCTTTTATACTCTGCCTGACCTTGAAGCGGGTGAAACACAACTCATAAATAAGTGCGTCAGTACCGTTAGCGATAGCCGAATTCGGTCAGAAATGTCTTGAAGTAGCATCCACACTAAAATATGAACCCTTAAACAGCTGCATCACTGTACACAGCGTTTGAATCATGAAGATATTTGATATAATGTTTCCAAACACTTGTAGCCGTAATAAAAGACGAAAAAATTGTGAAGAATCAAGATGGCGGTCTCAAAGTGCCCTTGTTCGACCTTTAGCAATGTCATTTTTAAGTAGATGCCAAGATCTGATTGGTTCCCAAGCATCAACTCATAGTACCTTCAACCTTATTGGCTCTTGCAACAAACATCAAAACATACAAAGATACAAAGCCACAAAGATACATACGCTCACACCACTGACATATGAGTTATTTTTCTCAGTCTACGTCATAACCAAATTTTCTTGAGTTTGCACGAGAGACTGGGTCGGTTTCGTTTCGAACTGGACTATGGGGCTGTTTTGGGGGAAGCAATTCCAAAATGGCGTCTGGCCATTAATACCCAGCAGGAGTTAACTGAAAGCGATATTCCTGGCGCTGAATTGCCGAGACAAGCCGAACACTGTACAGTTGCAATTCTTAAACGTTGGCTAGCTTGTAGCGGGGCGAAGGTACCCGGAAAACGGGAGGATTTGATCAAAAGGTAAGACGATCGTGGCATGTGGAACATCGGGTAGCTCCCGCTATTCTCCAGTGTATCTGATTTGATTGTTTACAATTCGGGAAGAATTCACTGATTTTTTTGTTGGTTTTAGAGTAAACGATTACATAAATAGCGTATTATCCCATAATCTTGTTGACCCCGATGGAGGTATAAATCTTCGGAAAAAACGCTTAGAACTTAGTTTGGAACAAGACATCAGCCCATCAATAGATGTTGCATTCCCTCAAGATGGATTCGAAGTTGGAATATCCAGTGTTCCTAAAGTTGGCTTTGGTCAAATATGGAAATATTTGATGGAAGAAGTCGAGTTTAAGAAGCAACTATCTGTGGAAAAACGCATACTGAAAGGTTACAACTTTTTCAAGTCTGGTAAAGTGTTAGGTTTATATAGCAAAACTGAGAATGGCCTGTTGTACCTAAAAAGCCAAGTGTTCATATTCAAAGACTGGGCCGACGTATACTATAAAAGTCATAATACGTGCCAACTCTGAAAATGAGAAAGCATTTTGCCCATGTCCAGCTGGGAATGATAGATGCTGTAACCACCTAGCTGCCACTTTATTTGCTATGGAAGACATCTTCATCAAATCAACTAACAATGAACAGACACAAAATGACCAGCTTCGTTGCACATCAAAGCCATGTACTTGGAATGTTCCAAGTAAGCGAAAGCAAGAACCAACGGCTATTCAAGAAGTGAAGTTTGAAAAGCATGTTTATGGTTAAAAACGGAAAGATTGCAAGGCTTCAACCAACACTGCTCCTAAGGAAGCGTGTGCTCCTCACAGAAAACAGTACAGTGTTGATTTTAAACTAGTTTTTGAAAAGATTAAAAACACAGGAAAAAACAGAAAAAAATTGGGTTCTCTTATACCATTCCACATGACCTTCCGGAAAATACAATGCCTCTGGATGAAACTAAAAGCTCTGACAAGGACATACCATCTAAATTTCAGAGGTGCTCTTTTATACCAAGCAAATACAAACTAAACCCATGAGAGATGGTATTGCATCAGAATCCAATATCATCCATGCATTTGAAAATGAGACTGGCCAGAAGGTACACAAGTCCGGTTTTACTTTATCTGAGACATCCATTTTTAGGTGCATCTCCCGATGGAGTCATAAATGACAGCGAGATTGTTGAAGTCAAGAAGGTTGAATTGAGGGAAGGAGAGTCACTTGATGATGGGATGTGCAGGTTTGGAATTTACAAGAAAAACGGCAGTGAACTGATGATCAACAAGAATCATAAATACTACCACCAGATGCAACAACGTCTTTTTTTTGCTCCAGGAGAAACACTTGCCATTTTATTGTTTCAAGTGATAAGGGGAGTCACACAGAATCTGTTCCTTTTGACTCTGTATTTTGGGAGAGGGTGCTTCCAAAACTTGAGCAATTCTATTTTGATAATATATTTCCTGAACTTGTTTATCCACGAATTTTTCATGGACAAACAAGGTGGAACAAGGACCTGCAGTTTCCAAAGCTTACATAGAAGTATAAGCTAAGAAAAAAAACAGTATTGCTTATTTTAAAAAAAAGCATTGAAGGGGTGTGTGAATAAAGCCTGAAGTGACTTTTAACATCTCTTTTGCCTTTTACAGTTTAATTACTTTTTAGTATGTCATATTGGAATGTTGTTATTAAATTGCAGTTTTTAAGTCATAACTGTGTAGGCAATAGGTTCAACACTTTATAACTACAACTTGCTCTCTATCCTCATGAAATAAAGTTTACTATTATTAGTTGTTGTAGTGCTATCAGTATTAGCATAGATACAATTCATATTATCATTATCGTTGTTATAAGAAGGTATAAGGGCAGTTTGAGGGAGAATCTTGCATTTCATGAGAAGTAACTGAGGGCATTTTTTTCCAGACATTCCTTTTATTTAAGTTAATAATGTGAATGTTATTGTCTGTGATGCTGAATCTTTACTTAATTGGTCATTTAGTTACACCCTAATAAATAGAATAGGCCTGCATGTAATCCTGGATTGGCTTATTCTGTAGCGCTATCAGGTAGAGTAACACCCATATCAAACAAACTTACTCTAAAAAAATGGACCTACACTGATGACATTTTAGGGACAAGATACACTGACAAAAAAGTACTTCTTGATGCCTATCAAGTGGAGTTTAATATACACTGACCTAAGAAAAAAGAGTCTTACATTTGCTAAAAATTAACTAACAATTGGTGGAAGAAAATAAGAAAAACAAGCTATCACAATCCAGGCATCTGAAGCAATATCAGACATACTTGCTGGGATTGGTCTATCATTGCCAGGTTTTCAATCTCTGCATATATCTTTCCACGTGTATTCTCAAACTTGCAATCTTTTTTTTTGTGATCAGATTCCTCTTTTGTAAACTGCTTCTTTCCATTCATAAAATGACGTAAAGTACGCTTAGCCCCAACAGAGGCGAGTTCATCTTGTATTAGAAACCCCTTATCAGCCATAACAAGGCACCCTGACTGCTTTACAATTTCAGGGTCACTAATAGACAACTCCATTGGGGGTAATACTGAGAAGGGACTTCATTGTGGTTCTTGACTTGTAGCTTGAGTACCACAATGATCTCTTATCGAGACAGGAAGGTGATTCCATCTGCAGTTCAGTGCAGTCAATTATGGAAACCAAATTAGGATAAAATGATTTGAAAACAGGTGGCATATAATACAAAACCTGTTCCTTGGATGGCCATTGAATGCATATAGGTTGAAGTTCATTTCTCATGAATTTTATCCAAGTCCTGCAAACGGACGACCCAGTGGCCACTGACACACGAAACCGTTCAGCTAAATCTTTCTCAAATAGCCCAAGTCTTAACAGTACCATAGTAAACTCTTGCCAGATAGTCAGCTTTCGCTTAGTTCCGGGCTTTTTATATTGAGGATCAAAATTTGTCTTCCCATTGTTACTGTAACACAAATTTGCAGCTTTTACTTTCAACAAATCAAAACATAATAGAGTAATTTTCAATTGAGTGTCGAAAGTAATCCGGGATTGCATTGGTTTTGCTTTACTGTGAGTGGTCTAGGAAACTCGCGCCACCTTCTAAACCAATCAGATACAAAACTAAAACCAATCGCGACTTGGTTACTCGCGTTTTCCCGCGCTTAAGGCCGGTTACATGCGTTTACTTCGATTTCTCATTGGCTCCCTCTGATATTTTTGTTTGTTCTAATTGGCCGTTGTGATTACTTTGGTTTTGGTTTTACGACACTCAATCGAAAAGCGCTCTAGCAAAGTATCAAAGTTGGGAAAGCCGGTGTAAAACGAAATGTCTTCATCACTGTGTTTGTAATTATCAATGACACATTTTGGTTTTGTGGTTGCTTCACTACTGGGATTGGCGCAGCGATTTAATCTCCTTTTTTAGAGTAGCGAGTTCATTTCTAAGATGTTTTAATTCATTGACACCTTCCGTTTGACAACCTTGGTCTTTACCACAAACTTTCGTTTCCACTTGACAAGCTTGGTCTTTACGAATCTTTTTATCAAAGTTTACATGACCAGCATTATTTTTATCTTCCTCCAAGTTCTCACATTCGTTGCTGTCAAGTACCAGATCTTTTTCTCGTTGTCGTGAGCGCATTTTTTTACCCTTCGAAGGCAGTTGCGTTTTCTTTAAAAACACGGCGGTTCTTTGGGATGGTAGTCCAGGGAAATATTGAAGGAAGTTCATTCCTTTTCATCCTCACTCTATTTGGAAAATACGCTCCACGATGAACCCTTGTGGTCGGCTTCAAGGTTGCATTTCGTATTAGTCGTACGTACGTCCGTTTTACTTTAGGTTCAGTTGGTAAAGTGTGAAATTTCATATTTGGTGAATTTCTCCAGTTGTTGGTGCATCCAGGTACACAACAGATAAATTTGCCCATTTTGATTTGCATGTAAGTAGCGTTTCGGGTTCCAAGTAGAAAGTGCGAAACAACAGCTGAGAGTGTCCCAAAACGGCCTCCATGGTGCAATTCGAGACGAAGCCGACCCAGTTAAATTCTGCAAGCACAGTACTGTAATGCTGATCGTCCTACGTAAAAATTAACTCTGCAAGACATCAACACGACACCGAAAGAACTCAAAACAGAGCGGGATTGTAGCCATAGACAGCTGTTTCGCCTTCTTTGGGGGTCGTCAGTATGGCGTAACAACCACGTAGCTTCTGCGCCCATCATTTTATCTGCACATGCGTATTGGGCTGTAAAAACGTTAATCGTTTTTAATTAATAATTATTCCTTGAGCCCGAATGGGCTCTGGGCTATTGACTCAAAGGCCATGAGGGCGAGAAGAATAATTGTTTCAGTAAAATCCAACTAGTTGGTCAAAAATATCGGGAATAAAAGAATTTTAGTTATTTAAAGCTAGACTTTAATCCCTTTTTGCCGCCAATAAGCGCGCGCTTTTCGCTACTAGTAGGCTACAACATATAGCCTAGTAGTAGCTCAACCAATCAGAACGCAGCATTGATAATACACCACTAGTTGGATTTTACTAATTAACAATAGTCAAGTCAATCTAGGCATTTTCGAGGCTCAACATCAAACTAATTGCAACAGAATTGTTTTCAACGCCATTTAAGTAAGGGTGGCCTAGCTAGCAACATACTAAAAATCCGCCAAAATCGGTTCAGTGTCAAAATTAAGCATTAAACATTTTCAGCTTTAACACAGGCATCCCACGTTAGTTGATATTATACGTTCAAACAAAAAGTGCATACAATGTGTTGGTTACTTTTATGGAAAAGTGAGAGAAGAAAGAACAACTGCTACCTAGTTTTCGGTGATAAAAACGAAGTGCTTCTTTTTTTCAAAAAGGATAAAAATTAAACACGTTTAGCTTTTGCACAGGAAGCCCATGCTGCATTCCAGGAAACCCAAAATAACCGGAGGCTTACAGAGTAATAGAATGAACTGTTGGCTGTAAAACTACAAGTTTAGTCGTAAGGCTTTAGATCTGAAAAATGAAAGCCGTTACTTAATCATTGGCTTTTAAAATATATCCTTTTTTATCAGATTTCTGTTAGCCGCAAGGGTAAGAAAAATATATATCAGAGCTGGATTTTTGAATAACGTTACAGCCAAAATAGCGCTCTCCCCTCAAACAGTTTTTTTCTTTCAAAGAAGTCAACGAATACAAAAACTAAGAGTGCAGCCATTGCCTCTTTTTTCTTCTCCTCCTTTCTTTCTCCTTGCTCTTTCTATTTTCCCTTTCCTTGTTCTTTCCTAGGAGGATTTTCGGGCTCATTTTGCCTTCGGCCGGCTTTTGGTCTTTTTCTCGGTCGAAAGACTGCAATTTTCGTTCGGTAGGTTTTCAAAAATCCAGCAAGTTAATGTTTGGCTTTTACGGTTACCTATACTTTAATTTTCGTTAACGTACCGACATCCTCAAATATAAGTTTCACTTTTTTGAATTCAAATTTAACAAGAGTCTTGTTAAATTTGAATTGGAGAGGATGCACAACAATGCAGAGTTTTTGAGCAGGTTAAACTCCAATGCCTATGAATTTGATAAGAGGGAAATGCGTTTTCATTTAAGGAAAAGTGCTATTACCTTCGCCAAAAAGGTTAACGGAACATTCATCGCTTAAGAAATTTGGTTCCAGCAAACGTTTGTTTCAAGGAAACGAAAATTAATAGTATAATAGGGAAGTTGGTTTTTAAGGGAAAGATTGACTCTGATTAACCAAAACAATGCGTATGTAAAAATATCTTGTAAGACATGACGGAGTAATGGAAATTCCCCACGCAGAGCACAATTTACGCAACTCGGTCAGATTAGGTTAACATGCCGTAAGAAGAAATGAAGAGCTGCCGCAGAAAATACAAACTGAACACACAGATGCACTAAACTAAATCTGAGACTCGCTACAAGAAGAAGATAAAAAGAGAACAATCACACTGCGCTTGGTTTTCTGGATTTCCTCTACAACAAATTAGGCCAGGTGTAATGAAAAGCGCAGAGCGTTACGATCTAGGAAAAACTAAATAGACGGAGTCCTTAGCAGAATATTTTTTCATAAAGGAGGTTGCGATGTCGCGAGAAAAAAAAGAATCCCTGATTTCCATCACACATATTGTGTCCACGGTTTGAACATAACTACCTCACAAAACTCGATTACAGAATACGGGAGTAGGTTAAACAGTTTGTACTAATACAAAGCTATCGTCCGTTGCACAAATTTAGTCGCACGTATCCTGCAGCATGGATGCAAATTTAAAAATTAC